TCAGATCTTGGGGTTTGTGGGAGTTGGTTTGGGTCTGAGCTTTGGTGTGATGGTTTGGGGTCCCCGATCCACATGGCAGGGAGCTGTATGGAATGGCAGCCAGTGTCCCCTGCCCCAGGCGGGAGGTAGGGGGAGATGGATACAGGCCAAAGCACCCCTGGAATTTTGGGGTGTCTGGAGGGAGTAGAAGTCAGTTTTACAATAAATGTTGACTTGTAAGAGGTTGTGGGTCTGTGCAGTGGTGGATTAGCCAATGGGCCCATGTGCCCTGGCCAATTGGGGAGTCCCACCCCCAGCAGACAAACACCAGGGTGGGGTGAGGGAGTCTCTGTGTCCCAATCCGGCTTTCTGGCAGCAGCGCCGGGCAGGGCAGGGGAAGACCCAGCTTCCTGACCCCGGCTGCAGCCCCAGGACTGGAGGAGCTCTTGCTTCCTGCTGGGGCCTCAGGGCTGGGGGAGCCCTCACTTCCTGCTGTGGTCCCAGGGCCCTGGCGGGGACGGGGGGATAGACAGAGTTTACAGGGGCTGGGCCACGGGGAAGGGGCACAAGGTGTGAGGCTGTGGGCGGGGCCACAGGCAGAACAGAGGCGGGACCACAGGCGGAAGGTGTGGGGAGGGGACCCCCTACTTGCTGTGGCCCAGGGCCCCACGAAACCTTAATCCACCTCTGTCTGTGTGGTGTGGGTCTGCCATGCTGGAGCATTGTGTTAATGTCTAGGGGAACTGAGTGTGTAGTGTTGTGAGGCAGTGCATGAGGGGAAGTGAGTGAATCATTAGGGACAAATGGGGGGTTGCGTTTGTCTAGGGGGATTGTGTGTGGTTGCATTGTGTGTATGTGGGGAGTCATATGGTGTTGCTGGGGGATGGGTTGTGTGTGAGTTTTCACAAGTGGGGGCTTTGTGAGGCAGAGTGTGTGTGTATTTGAATGTGGAATGGGGGTTGTGTGTGTGGTGTCTGAGGGTTGGGACACACACGCGTCCTTGCCAGAGGATCTCAGAGAGTAGAGTAGGGACTAATGGTTTAGAGGGGGGGAGGGCTGGGGTGGGAGCCAGGACTCCTGGGTTCTATCCCCAGCTCTGGGAGGGGGGTGGGAATCCCAAGTCTTGAGAAGGTTTAAAGAGACCCAGATTTTTGAGACTGAAGCCCGAAGCCTGCTTGTGTGGAGGTGTGGGGGGCAGTGCGCCCTGCCAGGATTCCCACCAGAAGCATGGTTAGATGCCAGGAAAGAGAGCCACGCGCCTATGCTGTTGGTTGGGATAGAATGTTTTCCTTTGTTCCTGTGGTTCAGTAATCAATACCTGGGTTTGACGAAGGCTCTCGGGGGTGGCTGTAACCCACTAGTCACAGGCTCCCAGAGGGAAGATCTGAAGGTGCCTGAACCCAGCAGGCCCGGGATGGGCCCAGTTGTAGCCCAGCACCCAGGCCAAGAGTAGGAGAATCACAAGATTCCTCCCCAAGAGAGGCAAAGGCTGAAGGCCAGAGACCTGAGGAGGGTGTGCTTAGACAGAAAAGGGGTTTCCCACTGTTTCCTGTTTCCCACTCCCCGCCCCCTGGAGCCCGCTGGGCTCCCTGGCCTGGGGCCAGATCAGAGCCGGTTCCCTTTGGAGAGGAAAGGCCCTTTGTCCCATTCCCCACCCCCATGAGCCAGCGAGTCCCTCTGCCCTGGGGCTGGATCAGAGCCACCGCCCCATAATGGGGATGGGGAAAGGCTTGTGTCCCATTCCTCACCCCCCTGAACCAGCCAGTCTATCTGCCGTAAGGCCAGATCTGAGCTAGGGCCCCCTATAGGGGAAAGGCCCCATATCCTATCCCCAAGCCCCCCTGAGCTAGCCAGGCCTCCTGTCCTGGGACTGGATTGGAGCTGGTGCCCCTTAGAGGGGAAAGGCCCCATGGTCCATTTCCTGCCCTGTGGCTGGATCCGAGCTGACGTCCCCTAAAGAGGAAAGGACCCATATCCCATTCCCTACCCCTCTGAGCTAGCCAGTCCCCCTCACCTGGGGCTGGATGGAAGCCAGCGCCCCCTAGAGGTGAAAGGTGCTTTATCCTATTCCCCGGCCTCCTGAGCCAGCCAGTCTCCCACTCTGGGGCCAGACTGGAGCGAGCTAGCACCATCTAAATAGGAAAAACCGCATGTCCCATTCCCAGGCACCCTTGTGTATCCCCAGGATGGGTGGGGGGTGTCTATAACTCAGAATCCGACAGCCTGAGAATCTGGGCTGTGTTTATTTCCCTCCAAGGCGCCTCTCCCTCCCTCCCCTTTATGGTGTTCAATTAAATCTTAAAACAAATCAGGCAAACACGCAGCAGCCTCTCAAGAGGAACTGGAGGCCCACGTTCTCACGGGGCCCAGCTGGGACTGATAAGCTGGGACCTTCCAGCCCCTGGGAAACTCCTGCCCGTGATGTGTGTGATGGGGTAAGTGACAGATCCTCAGGTAATGGATGAGGGGCCTGTCTCTCCCAGGAGATTTATGCATGTGCTTATCTGGAGCTTTTATTAGTCTGGGGAATTTTGCCATCATCAGAGCAGGTGACTGTTCCGCAATGATCCAGATGGGTCACGTCTGCCCTTTAAGGTGGTGCTCAAGGGGCTAGGCTGCTGGCCTGGGACTCAGGACAGCGGGGTTCAATTCCTGGCTCTGCTGCAAATTCCATGGGTGGTCATCCACTCGGTGACTCAGGTTGCCTGTCTGACAAATGGGAAGAATAATCCTGCCTTTGTCCATTACTGCAAACTCTTCAGGGCAGGAGACTGTCACAACTCCCACCTTTTCATGATCTCTGTATGTGTATATATAGCTCCTCAATATATGTTCCATTCTATGCATCCGATGAAGTGGGCTGTAGCCCACGAAAGCTTATGCTCAAATAAATTTGTTCTAAGGTGCCACAAGTACTCCTGTTCTTCTCTCACTCTGTGTCTGTGCAGTGCCTGGCCCAAAGGAGACCCCTGTCCCAGCTGGGGATTGTGCAGCACTCAGAACGACAGGGGCCCCAGTCTCAGTCATGGGTCTGCAGCACTCAGCATGACAAGGGTTCTGATCCCCATTGTGGGTCTGTACAGTGCCTGGCTCAATGGGTACTGTGTGTTCACACATGAAAGGAGCTGGCAGGTCTCTGGTCCCATGGGCCATCTATGGCACTGGTCACAGAGAACCAGGAGGATCTGTATGCCAGTGTGCAAGGGAGTTTGCCACCCTGTGCCCGTTCCAGAATTGCCCCAGGCAGGGAGCAGATATAGGGCGGGTGTGTGGGTGGGGGGAATAGATGCTTAAAGACCTTGTGGGCAGGAGAGTGGAGTTTAGTGATTACGGCGGGGCTGCTGGGAGTCAGGACTTCTATTCCCAGATCCACGGGAGGAGAGGGACTGGGAAGAGCCAAGACTTCCCTCTCTTGCTCCCAGGGGACCAACTCCCTGCACTGGGGCATGCAACTCTGTGCAAAGACCCTGTGGGTCCCTGGAACTCTGGCTGTGTCAAAGGGGCATGAAAACAGGCCCTGATAATGCCAGCAAGCAGAAAACAAGAGGCGCGGGGTGGGGGCTGGAGATTAAGGGCTGAATGGAGGCAGTGAATGGGCCAGGCAGCGCGGGGGGGCACAAATCCTTTGGACGCATCGAGACGTGAATATAGGAGCAGACACAGCACTTGTGCCTAAGCCCTGGCCTGCCACCCACCGTATGGGGCTGGGTGGCTATTGTGGCGGCCACAGGCCCAGACTAATCCCACCCGCATTCCTGATGGGTTGGCTAAAGGCTTCTCCCAGGGTTAGCTCATTACACCAGCCCTGGGGTGAGGGGGGAAGAGACCCTTAAAGACCCTGGGGGCAGGGGAGCAGGGTGGAGCATTGAGGGTTGGGGATATGGGAGTCATGACTCCTGGGTTCTGTCCCCACCACAGGGATGGGAGTGATGTCTTATAGTTGGAACAGCAGGGCTTGAGAGGCAGGAAGCCTGGGTTCTGTCCCCATTCAGGGAGGGGAGTGGGGGCAGCTGGATAGTGGGCCCTATGTGAGGTGGTGTGGGTACGCCTGGCTGTGAGCACTGGGTGTGGTTGTGCACGAGGAGGGTGTCTGAATGTGAGTGGATACATGTGTTTAGGGGAGGGGGTTGTCTGTTTGAACAGCTGCCCCATAAATGTCAGTTTTAGGTTGCAATTCTCCCTGTCCCCTTTCCTCCTCCTGGGACTCCACAGATCCCAACCATCTAGGACCCCCCCAGACCCAGTTGATTCCCTCTCCCGCACCCCACCTGGGTCTCATTGATCCTGACCCCTTACCCTACACACACACACACATACTCACTCTGTGGCCCCTTGGATTCTGGCAGGTCCCTTCCTGCTCCAAGGCTGCCCCAGCTGCCAGCTGCCCCAGGGGAAGTACCATTGTATTTATGGTGTGATTTACAGCACCCCAGAGTGGCAGCTGGGAGGCGAGGGTTGTAGCCACCTGACTTAGCCAAGGGTTTGGGGATGGGGGCAGCTGGGAGTCAGGATTCTTGGGTTCTATCCGAGCTCTGGAAGTGCGGTGGGTTCTGGTGGGACAGGGTCAGGGGTGGGAGCTTGGAGTTAGGACTCTGGGTTCTCCCTCCAGCTCTGGGAAGGGAGTGGGGTGTAATGGGTTAGAGCAGGGGGGCTGGGAGTCAGGACACCTGGGTTCTATCCTCGGCTCTGGGAGGGGAGCAAGGTGCAATGGGTTAGAGTGGAGGGCTGAGTCAGGACTCCTGAGTTCTCTCCTCAGTTCTGGGAGGGGAGTGGGTTCCTGTGTTCACTTATTTCCTAGCATTTCCTTCTCCCTTTCTGGTCTCCAGGACTTGGCTCTTCCTTTTGGCATCTGGGTCCAGCTTGTCCCTCCTCCCACTCTGGCCCAGGATTGACAAGGGGATAACCCTCTGCCCAATCATGGTTCAGCTCCTCCCCTGCTACTGGCATTCCCCTCCCCCCACGTGGGGCTGTGTCCCCGTGGTGTGATGTCACCAGAGGAATGACCCAGGTCCTTCCAGGCTCTGTCAATCAGTGTGGCAGAGACTAGCTGGCATCAGGGATCGGGGCTCAGGGGCTCTCCCCAGGGTGGGCACCTGCCAAGCGGTGAGTCAGAATACCATCTGCCCCCGGCAACTGCCTTCAGGTGCCAGCATGGGCAAAAGGGGCAGAGTCAACTGGGGACTTCCAGGGCACCCCAGAGATGCTGGGGAGGGGAGGAACAGAGGGCATGGGGGTTCAGGAGCAGGGTGGGAGAGTTGAGGGGAGGCAGGGTATGGGTGAGGAGAAGCTGGAATTGGAATATAAAGGTTGGCATGCAGGGAGCAGGGGAAGGCTGGGAGTTGGGTGCAGAGTCTGGGTCAGGTGATGCTCAGGGTTTGGGGCGAGGGAAGGTCTGGGGGTGGGGTGCAGGGAATGAAGCAGGGTTGCAGAGGGGCTGGGGGATTGGGGTGATTAGGGGAGTCAGAGGGGATGCAGGGCTGGGGGGTAGGAAGGTCTGGGTGGAGGTCTGTAGGGGGCTGGATGGGGGGTGCAGGAAGAGGCTTGGAGGCAGGGGGTTAGGGGAAAGCTGGGGTGGGAAATGCAAGGGAGCAGGGAAGGTCTGGGTGGAGGATGTAGGAGGGCTGAAAGGAAGCAGGGTCTGGGTGGGAGGATGCAGGGGCTGGCTTGGGGGAGATAGGTGGAGGATGCTGGGGGAGGCAGGGCCTGGTTTGGGGGAGGCACGGGGGGCAGAAGGGAGGCAGAGGGTTTGTCTGTTTACCATAAAGTTTAGCCAGAGTGAGAGCCACAGATCCCAGAATCCTGGTGCTGCCCGCCTCCAGCCAACACTGTGGGGGTTGTTAGGTGCCCGTTGCCCCAGCCTCCTGCTTTCTACCCATGACACAGCCTATTCCTAGTAGTTGTTCCAAGGATTTTGGGAGGGGGCAGCGAGGAGGGGCGGTTGCACTCTTGTGTCAGGGTAACAAAATGGGGAGCAGCATCCTGGCCATGTAGGAGTCGGGGAGGGGGGCCTGAGGCGAGAGCTGCCTAGCCCAGGCCTGGGGGATCACTGGGGAACAGGGATCTCAACCGGAGGGGTTGGAGCGGGTCAAGATGGGGCTGTCATAGCCCAGGCATGGGGGGCAGGGATCTCAGCAGGGTGGCCTGCCACAGCCTAGGGCAGCGAGGGGATCTCAGCAGAGGCAAGGCTGGAGGGGGGCTGCTGGAAGGGGGACAGGGCCCTCTCAGAGTGGGAACTGGGAGGTCTGCCATGGCTCAGGCCTGGGTGGATGTGGGGACAGGGATCTCAGCAGGGGATGTGGGAGTTGTGGAGGGTTGGGGGCACTGTGTGTGGTGCAGAACAGGGAGCTGTTAGGTTTGCATCAGGCCTACACACGTCTCCCAGCTGCCTTCTCAGGGATCTGTTTGTTTTGGCCAGGGACCATGGGGGGAGGGGGGGAGAGTTTGCTGTGGGGGGGGGGGGGGGGGAGGGAACCTTTGCCCCACTGGCACCTCTGCCTACAGCCCTTAAATGGCCCTGCACCCTCCCCCAACCTGCCAGCCCAAGGTCCACCAGCTGGAATCTCTGCACAAGCCAGCTGTATTAACCCCTTCCCTGCTTCTGCCCCATGCTTAGGTTGGGGTTGAGACAGACCTTCCCCTCCTCCCCACACACAGAGTGGGATCCACTGAGAAAAGCCAAAGAAGGAGCAGGTTGGGGGAGTCAGTAGGGGGTGCTCTCCCCTCGCCATCAGTGGTGATCCCAATGCCCTAGTGTGGTGCTAGGGGGCACTGTGCTGCAGGGAGTGGGGCAGGTTCTCAGTAGGGGGGCTCTCCCCTTGTATTCAATGTTGACCCTAATGCCCCAGAGCAGTACTGGGGGCGCTGTGCTGCAGGAGGGAGCACGGTGCACGGCAGGCTCCCCAACTCCCATGCATCCAATCTTTTTTGCAGACTCCCAACAACGATGTCCTTCTCCGGCACCAATCTCAAGCTGGAGCGGCTAGAGGAGCAGCAGCTGGAGGGCCCCGCCTATCAGCTAAGCCTCCAGAACCAACCTAGGGGCTGTGGTGACATGGCAGGCCCTTACCCTGACAGTGATCTCATTTCCCAATGGCTGCGCAGGAGTGTGAAGGCCAAGCTGGCAGAGGCCTGTGACTCGGGCGAGTCTTCCCAGGGGGACAGGGAGGTCCCGGCGAAGAGGACTCTGGATCCAGAAGGTGCCAAGGACTTTGCCTGGGCCAAGCGGGCCCGGGTAGAGAACATTGTGTGCAGCATCAGCAGCTCGTACCGTGATGGGGGCCTGGAAGAACGGGGCGCCGGGTATGGCCGCTCCCGCCGGGCCCAGGAGCGGAGCCAGCTCAAGCAGCAGCTGGAGAAGATGCATGAGCAAGTGTTCCAGCTGCAGGAGAAACTGTGCCAGATCTACAGCGGGGTGGCCCAAGAGGAAGGAAGCAACGTGGGGACAGCCTGGTCCCAGGAGCCAGGCAGAGTTGGAGCCAGCACTCGGCGTCCTGGGGGAGGGAGTAGGCACCCTGGCACCCTGGCCGAGGCCTTGAAGGAGGAGCTTGGAGCAGCCATGACCCAGGTGGTGGACACGGTCGTGCAGGTGTTTGCCCGCGAGCAACCCCCACCGGAGGAGCCCCCCTGCAGTTACCCAAGTGACCAGACAGAGGCACTTCCTCTAGTGGTGAGGAAGAGCCTGCCCCGTGCCCCCCCTGAGCTGGTGGCCGGCACCTTCCCCCAGCCCATGGCTGTGCCACCATACCTGGCGGCCTTCAAGGACAGAGCAGCGGGAGAGGCCTACTGGGAGGGTGTGAGCCTGCGCACCAAGCTGTCCTCCCGCCACCTGCTGCGGCCGCACTGTGCCCTCTTCCAGCTGGCAGGGCCAACTGACCGCCAGCTCCCCAAGAGCCAGGCCACAGAGACGCACCGTGGCCTGGAGCCAGCCCTCTACAAGCCCTCAATATCCTTTAGTAGCCAGCCAGGACTCGGGGTAGAGGGTCTGATCCCTGCCCCCCACTTCCCCCACACACATCCTGCCCCCAACTAACCCACACACCACACACACACACACACATCCTGTCCCCCACTGACCCATGCACACACCCTGCCCACAACTAACCCACACACGTTCACCCCCCCCATATGTGCCCTGCCCCCCACACTCTGCCCCAAACTAACCCACACACATTCACCCCCATGCACATCCTGACCCACTCACACAGTCTGACCCCCTCTGACCCCCCCACACTCTGCCCTGAACTAACCCACACACATTCACTCCCCATGCACACACCCACACACCATGCCCCCCAACCCACACATACACCCTGTCCCCCCAAACCCTGCTCCCAACTAACCCACACATATTCACCCCACACACACAACCTATCCTCCACTGACCCACCCCCCCCACACACACACCCTTCCCCAAACCAACCTACACACATTCACCGTCCATGTACACACAGTTTTCCATAGACCCACACACTGGCCCCTGCCTCATATACACGTACTGACCCGGACATCCCCGCACAGCCTCTTCCTTCTCCCTCCCCTGGCCCATATGCTGCATACACACACACCCCATACACACACTCCTGTCCCCCCACCTCCCGCACACCTCATACACTGACTGAGCCCTGCCATCAGCTCAGCCAGCCCCCCCACCCTCCCGGCCCTGCCCTGCCCTGCCCCGCTTCGCTCCACTCCACACCTGCTCACATCTTGCTGCCACCTGTGAGGCGTTGGCAGGGCAGGTGTTAGCATCACCTGCTCCCCCCACACCACCCACCCACCGCTAGTCCCCTGAGGCCTGGGGTAGGTTTAATGGTTAACCAGGCTGAGCCGGACCCTAAGCTGATTGCACCAGCTCGGAAACAGCTTCCTCCTGAAACCCGCTAGGCACCTGCTGGGAATAATCCTCAGGATTAGTGGGGGTGGACTGTCAAAGACACTCCCGCTGCCCCCTCCCCCAACTGCCTCCCACCCTACACTCTGCCCCTTCCCCCTGCTGTCCCCTGCTCTACACACTGCCCCCGCTGCCCCGTGGTAAACACAGTGCCCCTCCCCCGACTACCCCCCATTCTACACACTGTCCCCTCCCTCCGCTGTACCCCATCCTACACACTGCCCCCTCCCCCAACTGCCTCCTGCCCTACACACTGCCCCTTCCCTCAACTTCTTCCCTCCCTACACACTGCCCCCTCCCTCAACTTCCTCCCTCCCTTCATGCTGCCCCCTCCCCTGACTGCCCTCCAGCATACACACTGCCCCCCGCCCTACACGCAGCCCCTACATGCTGCCCCCTCCCTCAACTAGCCCTCACCCTACACACTGCCCCCGCCCTACACACTGCCCCTCCCTGACTGCCTCCCCCATGCTGCCCCCTCCCCTGAAAGCCCCCATACACACTGCTCCACACATATTCACCCCACACACACAATGTGTCCTCCACTGACGTCCCCTCTCCCTTGACTGCCTGAGCCGAGCTGCGGGGGCAGGGATAAGAGATTGAGAGGTGAGATTCGTGGGGTACAATGGGGAGGAGGGGCTGGGAGTCAGGACTCTCCTGGGTTCTATTCTCAGCTCGTGGGCAGCGGTCACTGCTTTCTTGGGGAGGGTGGGGTCTGCTCTCTGGAGGGCCTTCAACTGAGGTGCCCCCATTATAGCCCTTCCCCTGGTTGCTCCTTAACCCCGTCATTCCCAGGAGGGCCTCACTCCTGGGCACTTGAAGAAGGCCAAGCTGATGTTCTTCTACACTCGCTATCCCAGCTCCGGGACGCTCAAGACCTATTTCTCCGACGTCAAGGTGGGTCCCTCAGAACCTCCCCAACTCTGGGACAGTTTGACCATGGACCCTCCCCATGGATCCAGGCCCCCTTCTATATGGCCCATGCAGGTCCTCTAGCAGCATCCATCCGTGGAGGGAGGGTCCCTTCCCCGCCACAGACCCTGTTGCCAGAAACAGACACTTAGGTAGATCATGTGACGAGAGATGCAGGGGAGGCGGGGGGATCACAACCCGTCCTTGCCAGGGAATGGGCAGAACAGGAATCAGCTTCCTCTTTTCCCAGAGTCATAGGGGACAGCACGGGGGGATTAGACTTCCCTTTTCCCAGAGAGTTGGAGGGCAGGAAGGGGGATTGGACCCCTGTTTTCAGGGAATTGGGGGGCAGGGAGGGGAGATCGGACCCCCCTTTTCCCAGGGAGTTGGGGCAGAGAAGGTGGGTCACTCCTCTGTTTTCAGTGTACTGGGGGACTGAGGCCCAGGGCTGTGTTGATGGCAATGTCTCTCTCCTCTTGCCGTCCCCCTAGTTCAATCGCTGCATCACGTCTCAGCTCATCAAGTGGTTCAGCAACTTCCGGGAGTTCTTCTACATCCAGATGGAGAAGTTCTCACGCCAGGCATTGAGCGATGGGGTGCTCAGCGCCGAGACGCTGACTGTCACCCGGGACTCAGAGCTGGCACGTGTCCTCAACCAGCACTACAACAAAGCCAATGACTACGAGGTGGGCACGGGACCCGGCAGCAGGGAGGCAGGCAACGTGGGGCGCACAGACCGGGTGGAGATTTGGGAGGGGCCCCGTCAGTGGGGCAAGTGGATGGGAAGGGGAGCACAGGTCAAGGTGGGGATTGGGGAGGGATCCGGGCTGAGGTGAGGAGTGCAGGCCTGGGGTGATCTTGGCAGCATGGGAGCAATTGACAAGAGGAAGCTGACCTTGGGGGAGGAATAAAAGAGCCCCACTAAAACCCCTCCTGTGCCAGGCTTCACCAGTCCTGATGGGGTGATGCCCTTGTGTTTTTTTTCCCCCCACCTAGATCCCCAGCAAGTTCCTGGAGGTCTCGCAGATCACCCTGCGTGAGTTCTTTAGTGCCATCTCCCGGGGCTGTGATGCTGACCCCTCCTGGAAGAAATCCATCTACAAGGTTATCTGCAAACTGGAGTGCGACATCCCCGATGCCTTCAAATCCCCCCACAGCCTGCCGGACACTGTGCATGAGTGACTGGGGGAGGGGTGCTGCAGAGTTGTGGTCTTTGGCGGGGGGCAGGGGAGGAGGGCTCTGGTAATTTATTGCTGATGTGATCCACTGTGTCACTAAGTTGCTGGCTGAGGTAGGGGTGGCCTTGACACCACCCACGTTTCAAAATTATCCTCCCCACACATATCAGAGGAGGTTTCATTGGGAGAGTGTGGGGAGTGCAGGCCAGGGAGGGATCCCAGCAGTGGGGGAGGCAGGTGACACGGAGAGTGCAGGCCAGGGTTGGGGATGCGGTAGGGATCCCAGCAGTGGGGGAGGCAGGCAGCGTGGGGAGCACAGGATGGTGGAGGCAGGCTTGTGGGAGCACAGGCGGGGGATGGGGATGGAGGAGGGATCCCAGCAATTTGGGTGAGGGGAGGTGGTATGGGGAGCGCAGGCTGCGGGTGGGGCCGGCAGAGAGATCTCAGCAGTGTGGGGTGGGGGCAGGTGAGGTGGGGAGTGGAGCCAGGGGAGGGATCTCAGCAGTGAGGGAGGCAGGTGGCATCGGGAGCACAGATCAGGTGCGGGTGAAAGTTTCTTCTTGGGGTGGGATCTACAGCTAGGAACAGTACCCACATGGGGCCCATCCACAGCCTAAGCAGTTTGTGTTAGTGGCTGCCCTTGCCCATGTCCATGGGTCTGAGGCCTGTGGGAGGAGGGAGAGGGGTGGGATGGGTGGGGAGAGGGGCTTGTGCTTCCCAGTGTATGTATTGCTGAGACTTCACGCTCCCTCTGGACCCTGCCAATAAAGACACATTGAAAAGCTGCTGTGTCTGTCTCCTGGGGCTGGGCTGGGACTGGGGTTAAATTCCAGTGAGTGCATGTGCTGGATCAACCTCCACGGAGGCCTGTGTGTGAGCCCAGAACATCAGCGATTCATACTCCCCTGGTGTGGGGTTCTGGGTCTGGAGGAATTTGGAGGCAGTGTTGTCCAGTGGTTAGGGCACTACCTTGGGAGTCAGGACACCTGGCTCTGCCAGACTTCGTGTGATCTGGGGCATATCACGGAACCTTTCCATGCCTTGGCTTCCCCATCAAATGGGGGAAATTATCCTACCCCTTGTCTGCTTAGGTTCTTTGGGGCAGGGACTGTCTCTTGCTGTGTGTTTGTGCAATGCTGGGTAAAATCGCCCCCTGATCTCAGTTGGGGTCTGTGCAGCACCTGGCATGACAGGGGCCCCAGTCTTAGCTATGGGTCTGTGCAGTGCCTGGCACGCTGGAGCCCTGATCTCTGGGGGGGTCTCTAAACACTATTGTACACAAACAGTACCAGGCCTGAGACTGGAGTCAGGCCTTAGGTGATCTGGTACTGCCTTTGAGGGGGGCCAGTGGGACGATGATTTGCTGATGCCCGTGAGGATGAGGCACTGCCAACTTGTGGGGGTTAGGAAGTGTGGAGAAAGAGAGAGAGCCAGAGTGCGTGCAGAGGACAATTCCCCGCTCCCCGTCTGGATCCCCATTAATTAAATGGCTGCCCTGCTCAGGTGGCTGAACAGCTGGTGGTGCATTTTAAAATCACAAATCTCCCCGCCTGGCCCAGCTGCAAATGGCCAGATTAATACCCCCGATTAACCGTAGGGGGAGGGAGGGATGTTGTTAGCATGATGGCCTCAAAGCCCAAGGTGCTGCAAACCTCTCTCTCTGCTGGCAGCCCCACAAGCCCGGAGCCGCCCCGCCATGCTGTGGAATCCTGTCCCCTAGCCCCTGTGGGGGAGGATTTCTCAGCAGAAGCTAAAGGTGACCTCGACCTGCACAATCATTGCAGGATTTTTCCAAAGCTTTCTGCTTAAAGATACCGGGTGGAACTAGGGGACATAAAGAGCTTTCGGGGAGGGGCTAGTTTGAATTAGATGGGGTGGAGGAGTGACCTGAGGGATGGGGTCTGTGCCCCAGAGGGGCTCAGGGTCCAGGAGTCTCCTGCTTTGATTCTGAGGGGGGGAATTTGACAAGGACTCTTAAAATGCAGTAACTGGTGGCCACCGCGCAGGGAGGGAGGGTGGAATGAGATATTGGGTCTATCAGCTTTGGGTACCAATCTCTATCCAGCCTCAGGTCAGAGGGAGTTGGGGGGATGGGCGATGGCTGCTCCTTATACAGAGATCCCTCGGGTAGCACCAAGATGCGGCCACTATTTATACAGGGATCCTTCGCCTGGCACTGGCATGTAGCTGCTGCTGGGATGGGCACAGCAGCGTTTATACATGGCTCCCTCCCTCATCAGTGCTGAGATGCAGCTGCCTCTGGGGCGGGGCATGGGAACTGTTTATACAGAGCTCTCTTGCTCAATGCTGAGAGGCAGCCACCTCTGGGGAGGGGTGTGGGAGCCATTTACACAGGGATTTCTTGCCCGGTGCTGAGATTCAGCTGTTTCTGGGACAGGGAAAGCACAGAAATGCTACCCAACAGATGGGACAGCAGAAGAAGTACACTCCTGTAACCAGCTAGTACGGTAGGAGGTAACATTGAATTGGCCATGTTGGAATTTGGCCAGATAGTGGGGGCTCTTGGGAAAAGTGCGAGGCAGGTTTAGTGACCCGGAGGTGTCAGTGAGACTCATTTTGAAATCTCATGTTAAGGTCAGCAGCACAGCACCCCTTAGCTGGGGCACTGGGGTCAGCACTGATTGTGATGGGAGAGTGCCCCCTACTGAGCCCCTGTCCCGCTCCCTGCACTGCTCCTTGCACAGCATTGACTCAGCCTGCCCCTGCTTAGCAGCGCTTAGCTAGAGAATTAATTCTACCCCCACCCTTAGCCACTGGCCACAGGGGTGAGAGGGGGGATGGCAACCCATAGCTGCTGTGCTGCAGTGAGCAGGAGGAGCTGGGGCCAGCAATCTGGGGTGGAGCAGAGAAGAGGCTGCCTGCCCAAATCCAGGGGTGGCTGTAGATGGGTCCCATTTCAAAGTGGCTGGAACTAACTTGGCTTTCTTTGGCTATCCCAGCCCCGATCCCTGCAGGAAAGAGTGGGAGACACCTAGGACCCACAAGCTGGGAGCTGCCATCGCTGCGAGGCTGCTGCTACTCCATCGGGGCTGGGAGCTGCCCCCGTAGTCTCGGGACAGAGACCACAGGGTAAGTGAGAGCTGTCGGTTTGGTACAGAGCCCTCGTTATGTGCGACTGCTCTTTCAGTCTGTGCCAGCATGTGGGGCTTGCTGGGCTGGAGGGGCTCCCCCTCCCCATTGGCACTCCTGCCTGTAGCTGTGTCTGGCACCTTAAAGCCAAGGGCCAGAGGCTTCCTTGCAAATTGAGCCTTGTGAAAGCCATGCAGGCCAAGATGGCCACTGTGCCATGGTAGCTGGGCCCGACAAGTATGGCCTAAGATGGCCGCTGTGCCATGGTACAGCCTGGGCCTGACCCGTGTGGCCCAAGATGGCCGCCGTGCCATGGTAGCAGGACCCAGTCCATGTGGTCCAAGATGGCCGCCGTGCCATAGTAGCCAGTGATGGCCACCTGTCCAGGTTTACCCCGGATTGTCCCTGCCCTGGGATGTCTATCCAGGTGCTCACTACACACTGCAAACTGTCTGATTTTATGGGCTCAGGATCATCCTGGTGTGACAGGGTGACAATTTCCTGCAGTGTCCTGACTGAATGTTATTGAATTAAGCTCAAACATATTGAATTTGTTTTAACATCTTTGCACTCCATGTATTGAAAATGCGATGGTATCTGTGTTACTGCAGAATTGCATGTGTTTCCATGGGATGGGTCAATAGGAGAACAGCAGGAGGTGGTTAAGGAAATTCACCCAGGCAGTCTGTAACATCTCTAGAGGAGACACCCTTTGGAGAGCTGCGCGTATACAAGATCAAACTGGATTCTCTAGGGCCCAACAGACAAAGAAAGGGTTCTTGGATAAATAGCCTGGTTTTAACCTGACTCAAGGCCTTCTTCCTGATCCAGCAAACAGACAGGACCCCAGTGCACAGAGGGCCCCAATCCTTAGAGTAGGGTTGGAAGGACGGGGCCTACTGAGGGCTTGTTCTGAGCTAAAGCTGTGATGAACTTGTAACCACAAGGAGACTCCTTGGGTGGGGCAGAGGTGGAAGGATGGTTCCTGCCAGAATCCATGTTAGGTTTGGGGTTCCTGGTAAGCATATTAGCATGTGAGTGGATTCTTGTATTGTTTTGAATATGTTTTATCTGTCGTGCTTTTTACCTTAAGAATAATGCAGGCCTACCTAGGCAGTGCTGGGGGATACCTTATAACTGCAGCAATGATAGGTGTTAACCATCTCTAAAGGAAAGCAAGCAGGTTTGGCTTGGGCAAGGTGCCTTTGCTGCAGAGAACATGATGCAGGCAGGGACCTGTGCAGCTTACAATCTCCCGGTCAGAAGGGAGAGAGCCGTGGGTCTCCAACAGGAGAGTAAAGAGCTGGGGAGTGGAAAGCTTGTGGGTAGGGACACTTGCTGGGCCATTGAGGGGAAATATAGGCGCAGTTGCCCTGGACTGTGACATCTGGACGTCCTGATTTTTGTATCTCAGAGGTAGCAGCCCTAGTAGTGGGGCCCACATGGTCCAGCATGGCTGCCATGCCACAGTAGCAGGGCCTGTGTGTGCTGAGAGGTGGGGGTACATTGTTATTGCTGTTTTGGAGACAAGGAAAATGAGATGCGGAGATGGAATGGGACTTGGATTTGAGGCAGTGGCTGAGATGGAGACAGAGCCCAGGAGCCCTGACTCCCAGCACCCCACACTGGGCTAATTACAAGACTCCATTCCCCTCCCAGAGATGGAGATAGAACCCAGAAATCCTGACCTACTCCCCTCCCCCTCCATGTTGTGGTTGTGGGGCCTTTAATGGCCCCAATGCTGTGGTAGCAGGGCCCACTGGGCCCGGAATGATCACCCTGTGCCATGAACAGTGTTCCCAACTCACAATATTGTTGTGAGTGACAGGATGAATTTCTGGAGCCCATCTGGTAATGATATGAGAAGTTCCAGCCTCCGCATGGCTGGAAGCCAGCAAAGTCCTCCTCCAGGAGGGAGG